TATATATATATATATATATATATATATATATATATATATATATATATATATGCATACCGTACATTCGTTGAGTGGTCGTCAAGAATGACGAGATATACTACGTCCAATACACATACAGTTCAGCATCAACGGAATTTATCGGTGAATCACTCCCAATCTTTAAAGGAGTTTAGGTTCCGCTACCTCATTGCTCCTCATCACTGGAATAAAATATCTCACTTTTAGTTTTGTTACAGGATAACATGTGACAGAATATGAAGATTCAAAAAACGGGATTAGAGTGACTGCATTGGAGTCCGGTAAGCGGAACAGTCCTTTAGAATACTCAGACCAGCGATCAAGCCGCTNTATCGCTGACTGTCGTGGTAACCGATATCCGCCGGTCACCAGCGCTGTGTAGCTGTTAGGACAGATTCTGACAATTGCACCGGGCAACGGTTACAGCCATTCAGGAGTTGCTTTCCTCCATAGGTTTCTTTGGGCCTCCCCAAGACGTTCCTTGAGAGAATGAGCGAAAACGTCATAAGCCCCGAGATCAATGATTGGACCGATTTGACGTAAGCGGTTCAGAAAGATCTGCAATCTTTTCTTGATCGAAGCAACTGTGGTTTACTGCAATGTAACTAATTTGGGGTTTGCTTACTTTCTGCACTTAAAAGTTATATCTCCGTCTATCAGGAGTTGTCTTTAGATAGGCACAATTGAGGATATACGAAAAACTGGAGTTGATCCCCGTTATTCGTTCTCGGGGAAAATACAGCAAAATGAATCTCTGGCGAGCTCAAATTTATCCATCAGTGCAAGTGAATCGGAGCTCAGACTCAACCGAGCTCCGTTTCTATGCATCGAAACTGCCGTGAAGCGGGGCTCTGTTGAGATGATGAACAAACGCGTTTGGTATTGCTCTCCTTTCGAATGCTAACTGCGCCCTGAAGCCTCAGTGCACAAGAACGGTTAGTAATAGTCAGTTTCAGTTTCAGTTTTACAACCATTAACCATGCACTTTCGTGCGTCAGTTTTGGTTGCTGTCTTTTCAGAAGTCATGTGGTAAACAAGCTCGTTTTCGGTGCCTCATTTACTAACCAAATATAGCACTCGTTTATAGGTTACAAAATCATATTGTCCAAGGAAATAGAATGCGCGTAAGTAATGTCTGTGTTTGTATGCGTGTGTGTGTGGATAAATGAGATAATACAGTCAGGGGTGTATGTGAGTTCGAATCATTCATCAAATGTCATTACTACTGTCGAATGAATCAAATGATGTCTTTTGGTTGCCCATTTGGATAAAAGAGCTAAATGAAGATTGGAATGTCGAAGAAAATTCAAGCGG